AATACTCAATTTAACTCATTTTCGTTATTATAATGGGCCAAAAAGAGAGTAAAACAAACTCATTGAGAGAAGTAAACATATTTTTATAAAATTTGAGTTCAAATATTTTGTTCAAATTGGGCTTTGGTCAAATGGGTTTTGGCTTACAGAGATTAGATGCCAAAATATAATCCACTATTATTGGGTCTACACAAACTTGGATTACTACTAGACTGGCCTGTAGGTATGTGGGCTTAAATTATTCACAAACAATACCACTTATTTGGGTTTATAAATTGAACCAAACATCTTCGCACATTATGCTGTGTAGTGCACACGGTTGCAAAAAAGACGCCGTTTTAACTAAAAACGCGCGTCTCACTTAAAAAAAAATTCAGGTTCGATTCCTGACAATAACTATATATCCACAAATTCATAACTATATATCCACAAATTTATAACTATATATCCACAGTGAATGAATAACACAAAATTCAGAATGAATGAACTAAATATCCACAATGAATGAACTAAATATCCACAATAAATGAACTAAATATCCACAATGAATGAACTAAATATCCACAATGAATGAACTAAAAATCCATAATGAATGAACAACATAATGCTGTTGAGGGGAATCGAAACCGATTTTTTTTTTTTTTAAATGGGACGCGCGTTTTTAGTCAAAACGACGTCGTTTTGCAACCGTGTGCACCATGTACAACATAACTATTGAAACATCTTATCCCTCTGATCTGCAAAATCACCTTAACAATATGTTATATCAATCATTATTGTGTGGACCATGGTCCATACAAGTTGTGTGGACCATATTTTGTATACTATAAAATAGTGTATATTCAGTACAAAAATAATGTACATTTAATTCAAAAATAATGTACATTGTATTTAGGGAGTGTACATTATTTTTGTACTGAGTGTATATTATATTGTCTAATGTACATTCAGTATAAAAATAATGTACATTTAATATATTAAAAATGTACTTTTTATTATAGTTCACATAACAGTGTGTGGACCAGGATCCACAGAATAATTTGCCTTGTTATATCCATTGGTCTTGGAGGTAATTTGAGACGCTATTTGCAAACTCATCAAAAGATGTATACCCAAACACATATCACAAGAGAAAAGAAAGTAGTGTCCCATTAAATAATATCATTAGAAAATGCTGCTGGTGGAGTGGTGGATTGGACTATCATACTTATTCAATGTTACCGCGAACAGAATCGTGTGGCTAACATATTAGCTAAACGGGCCAAAACATGTATATATGGTGGGAAAAGACCAAGCAACCCGATTCTGATCGAGTTGATGGAGATGATTATAGATGATTTGATGGGGGTTTTCTCGTCACAGACGTATCTATGAGAGGCAACTCTGATTGCTTCGGGGTCACCCCTCCCTTTTGATATATATATATATATATATATATATATATATATATATATATATATATATATATATATATATATATATGGAAGGGATCATGTGCATTTGTGGCTTCCCGTGCGGATGTGCGGTGGATTAATGTGCGTGAGGTTTATACTTAATGTGAGTGAGATTTGTATTCAATGTGCCTGAGATTTGTACATAATGTGCGTCATGTTAATATGCGTGTGTTTTGTACTTAATGTGACTGAGTATTGTGTTTAATGTGCGTGAGATTTGTGCTTAATATGCGTGAGTATTTCATAATTACGAGCTCAGAAGGGAGCAGAACAGAAACTCACGCACATTAACGCCCAAGCTTCTTGTTACTTTTTCCTTCAATTTGGCCATGGATTCTGGATTATCAGCTACCTTCAGTGCAGTTGAATGTTTATATAGATGACGCACGCACAGTAAAATTTGCACAGCAGCTAAGTGTGGATTTCTGTTGTATTATTCGCATAATTCTTAACCACCATAGCCCGCCTCCGCATCATCATCATCAGGGAGGAGGCAATGGCTACTGGGGATGGGGATGGGGAAGAAGCTGACATCAATATTTTCTGCTGCATTTTACACATTCACGCACATTAAGTACAAATCTCAGACACATTAAGCACAACACTCACGCACATTGAGTACAAATCTCACGCACATTAATCAACCGCACATCCGCACAGGAACCTTTCAATATATATATATATATATATATATATATATATATATATATATATATAAACCGTATTATGTCACATGCAAAATTTAGTTGTAAATTTTGAGGTTAAAATATTTTTACCTAATTAATGATTGGTTACTAAAATTCGTTTTAAACTATTCTCATCATTAATCAAGTAAAAAAATTATTGCCAGAAGTGAATCCCTAAACCTTCTTCTTAAGAATGAGCCCATTAAGATAATACATGTATAAATAGTAGATCTCTGTAGAGCTCTTTATATAGAATACAATAAATCATTTATATTCTTTCACATCAATGAACAAGAAGGAGCGTTGCATTTTCTTTTTCCAGAAAGACCACTGCATTTGCTTCTTCCAGCAATAGTTGACTGTAAAATTTGATGATAGGACCAAATGTGATACAAATTACATAATCATACATTTAATTAATCTTAATAGTCAACGACCAAATGTGATTCATGTTTAATTGTTCGGAAACCAAAAGTAATTTTTTCCCCCTGACGGTAAAAACGTTACCGGTAATAATATTAGAATAACAAATGATGTGACAAAGTAACAACAGACGTAACAATAGTTGTATTGCCTTTTGTCTCAGTATAGAAAGTACAGTGTGTCCTCTACTAGATGAGGAGAGCCCTATTTATACTTAGAGTCCTAACGGTAACAACGTGGGACATAATGTCACCCCCCTATTAGCTTTCTAATTTCCCAATAAATGAAAATTTTTCATCAGTTAAAAAGTACTCTAGATAGTCATATCATATCACTGTCTTAACAAAGATTATTAGTTAACACTTTTTTTTTGGTGGATTAAAGTTAGTGAATGTGTATAATATAAAAGTTTTAAATTCAAATCTCAATTAGCTAGGATATACCCAAGATTAGAAAACAAGAGTTTGTAGATGAAAACAACCTTATTAGCCACTTTCAATATTTTAACAAATCACTTTTGATAATAGTATAAATGTATAATACGGACTACCTAAAAGGTCATTGAAAAATTTTGAAAGATGATCAATTGCTGTCAAAATTTCTAACTACCTAATGGTTATTACCTAAATTTTTAACCACCCGCTGATTGAAAATTAAAAAAATAACAATATTTTAAACTATTTTCCTTCAACCATAGCCATTGTCAAAGGCAAAAAAAAAAAAAAGCAAATATTTCTATCTAAAGGTAAAAACTCAAAAACAAAAACCTAGTGATGCGCTTGGAAACCCACTGCAAATAGAATGATTTAAATTTATTTTTCTTTAAAAAAAAAATAATTCTTTTTCTTCATATTTCTCTCCATCCTCTCCTTTCCTTTTCTTTTTTCCCCTTTTGTCTCTCTTCTCTTCTCCTCTTTCTTTATTCACCATACATAAGAAGTACAAGTTTTCAAATATTTTGAATTAGCTATAAAAAATTTTCCGTCCAGCCACTTTAAGTGTTAGCCTATCAACTAATTTTACTTATCCTTTTAAAAGAAAAAATTTTTTTTATTTATTTGACCAGTATTAGTTGTTTGACTTGGTTAAACAATCAATATGAGTGCTTTTAATTAGTTTTTTGTAACAACTTATTGTTCCAAAATGCTAAAATTCAAAAAGCTGCTCAAAGTAATTTTTTCGATAAGCTTTTTGAGAAAGTCATTTTGCATATATGTAATTAGCTATCAGCTAATAACTAATTTATCAAACATTTTTCTACAATCAGCTAATGTTATCAACTACTAACTCAATCAGCTAACAACTATTTGCTACATTTTTCTACAATCAGCTAATGTTATCAACTAGTCAAACCCACTAACTCAATCAGCTAATAGCTATTTATCAAACACCCCCAAAAAGAACATTTTATCTTCAGACATACCTTCGGATGGTGATTACAATTTTTCCTGCTAACAAAAAAAATATTGAAAAGTGAGAAATTTTCATCATTTTTTGAATGATTAGAAATAAGCAATAAATTGTTCAACTAAAATGTACAAAACGATATTGTTTGGAGTTGTGTGTGATTATAAGGAGTAATAGTTAGTATAGCATAATTAAGTAGTTGACTAAATCCCACTCCCATTTTGTGTCGAAAAGCAATTGTACACCTAAAGTATTATTGGCCATGTGCATGTATCAAAATATGCTATCCCTCCCATCACAAAAGGCAATTAAAAGATAAAGAAAAATTATAAAGCTTGGGGGTGGGGGGATCTTTGCACATGGGAAAGCATCCTTAACTTATACAATGCTTCTAACATTGGCACACCAAGATTCCAACCCCAATCAAAATAACTCTTCATCAAATTACAAAATATGATAAATAATATATTCTTAAAAATATTATTGTTGTCACAAAGACAAATAAAAAGAAAATAAAAATAAGAAGTCATTCTTTGAAATCAATCAATAATCAATTAATATGTCAAAAGTAAGAGTAAAATGATGGTACACATAATACAATTGTACTCCTCCGATCCCTAACATGATGCCATATCATTGGTGCTAGCATGTAGATCACTTTTTTTTTTTTTTTTTTTTGTGACGATGAAAATCTACTGTCACTGGCTGAGAGCCGGGTATGCACAGAATAAATCTCACTTTGTGATTTTAGTCGGCAAAAGACCACAAGAGCCAAGGAAGTTAATTAATCAACCTAAGTTGCTCATAGTTAACCGGCTTAAACCAAAAAGGTCAATAGCTTAGAATCTTGTGATTATCAAGTCAATGGCACGCCTAACTAACTTTGCTGGAGTTGTCCCCAACAATAAGACATATATTCTTGTTGTTCTCTTTCTCTTTCATTTGTTAATGAAGAACATATGATAATAGCTAGAAGTACTTTTTATATAATACTTATCATTTTTCATAAATAACAAAAAGAGAATCAAAATAACAAAACAAACCACTTATTTATATAGAACATCATCCAAAACATTACAATCCCCAACCAAAAAAAAGAAGATGGGAAATATCAAATATGATCCAAAAACACACCAAAATTCACACTAGAAAAAACACAAAAACAAAAGATAATGTGGTACATGATATTATTCCACCAACACAAACTTTTGTGTTTGCCCATAACTCTGACCCTAATAAGCTGGTAAAAAGTTAGAAGAGATCAGCAAGATGGATGGATGAGCAACAACACCACAACCACAACCACTCCATCTCTATACATGTCTTTTTATATTATTATTTTCCTCAATTTTTTTCCTAAAATAATTTAAGGAAATGAAGGAGTGGGTCCCAAAAGAGCCTCCTTTTCTCTGCTCTGATGATGAGAATGTTTATCTTCTCTTCTCTTCAAAGTACATGCAGGGGGGGCAAGAAATTAATAATAGAGGTTTGTGGGGGTCAGTCAAGAGAATAAATGAAAGGCATATGCACCAAACACATGCCTTTAACCATTCCCCTGCCCCCATTGCACATGCAACCTGTCCCCCCCCCCCCCCCCCCCAACTCTTATTTTACTTAATTACATCTTTATCTTAATTAAGAATATAATATGCATGTCACACCTCCCAAATCATATTACAACTTCAAACTACTTGCATCATATCAAACCAAAAAGTACAACTATCTAGTGTTAATTAGTCAATCATGATAATAAGTCACGATGATTTGTTGAAGGCAGTTGATTTAGATTGAGGGGGTGGTGGAGGGACGTTGGGGAGCGGCCAGCTCGGCGCACGGGTGGTGTCGCGGGCAGGTGGTGAGGTGGTCGTTGGTAAGGCCGGCGGCCTGCATGAACGAGTGGATGACGGTTGGACCGACGTACCGGAACCCTCTCTTCACCATGTCTTTGCTTATGGCTTCTGATTTTGAGGTCTTCACCGGAATCTTGTTGCACCACTTGTACTGTGTGGCAATTGGCTTGTGGTTCACATATGCCCATAGGTAATTATCAAATGACCCAAATTGCTTCTTGACCTGTACAAAGAGTGAATTAAGTTAATGACAAGAATTAATTTTTCTTAATGAAAAAAAAAATAAAAATTAAATGGATTGGAGCTAGCTAGGCAGACCATGTGAGATGTGACATAGTTATTAGTCAAGGTGTGCCTTTAATTTGTTATCCTCAGTCCATGTGGGGCATGTGGGATGATGTGATCATGTCATGAAGGTGTGTTAATGTTAATTAAGCCCACATTAATTAATTAATTAACTAATTAATTTCACTTTCCAAGTGGCAACCAAGTGGAAGCCTAAAGTATACAAACTTTTAAAGATTATTTAGTACGTAAATCACATATCATAATAATAATAATGCATGATTAATACCTCAAGAATTCTGATAGAGTTGTCAACAGCTCCTCTCACTTGGCTCAATTCTATGCCATATTCAGCACTTACAGAAGTTATCTTCTTCTCTGTGTATTTTGAAACTGCTTCTGCATCAAACCCTGAAAATGCATCCCTGCACAAAACACACATCATGCAATTAACAACTACCAAAATTCTTCAGAGTTACTATGAAAACTCGCAACCACTATCTAGAGTTTGCACGAAAAAACCCTGCCTTATGACCTTTAGTCAGCAAAGGAATACGAGGAGGCACGGCTGGAAATTATGAAATTTTCGACCACATGAAAGTGATCTTAAATCAAGTCGAAAGCAAAAAGTGGTCGGAAATAGCAACAAATGTTTTTCTGGATACCAAAAGTGGTGGAAACAAGGCTTTCGGCTTGATTTTAAGATCACCTTCAGGTGGTCGGAAATTTCATAATTTCCAGCAGTGAGATAAACTAGTCAGTTACCCAAGATCGGTTCAAACCAAGAAAGCCAATAGGTCGCTTCCATTAAAAATCGAACTTGTAACTAAACCCCGTCTTATAACCAGGTGACCAGTATAGGTTACTAGTTCAAACTAAGAAAACCAATAAACAGTCCCCATTAAGAGTCAACTTGTAACTTTGTGGTTACAGAAAGTCAGACATAAGATGAATATCATATCAATAATGCAAATGTTATATATATATATACCTGAAATCTTGCCTTTTCTTCAAGACAATTGTCCAATCTGATCCAACTTGTGCACCAGTTAACACCAATAGTTCAAACAACATGCTGCAATTATATTACACCCAAAGAAAATTAATTAATGGGTTTTTTAAGGAGTTAATTAAGGTGTTTAATTATGCATTGTAAATCTGTATACTTACTTATCATTATGGACAGGAACTCCCCATTCTTCATCATGGTAAGCGACATAGACGGGGTCCGAATTGGGTGTGATGAAGCTGCACCTCTTCTCCTCACGGACAACCGCCGTTGCGGCGGCGGGGGCGGCTGAGAAGTCGCCGGAAGCCACCTTTCCGTCATACTTGGCGGATTTGGTTCTTCCGTAGTGAGCAATCTTCATTTTCCTCTGCACCTGCATGATTGCGACCTGTTCCCTCCTCGCCGCCGCTATGCTTCCCGGCTCGTCAACCATCACGGCCGCCGCCGGCGCACCGGCGCCGCCGCCTTTCTTGGACTTCTTTGCCAACAAGGTTGCTGACGACGGCTTCGGAGTGGAAACCTTCTCGGCGCTAGAGTTGAGGCCATTGGGGTCGTTCCCTGACCGCTTCACTGCGGGCTGTCTGGGCGACTTTATCTTGGGAGACGCCGGAGGAGTGGTGGTCAATGACGCCGCCGCCCGCGACGGCGGCGGAAGGGGCAGCACCGCGGCGGAGGAGGGCTTTTTAAGGGAACTGCGCCGCTCCAACAGAGAGACTCTGTTGCGGTTGGGTTGAAGAACATTCGGAGCCGCCTGCAGTTTAGTCTCGGATGAACACATGATGTTTGGTTTTGTTTATTTTATGTCCTTTCTAAAAATTGGGAGAATTGGGCTTAGGTACTAAAAGCTTTGGGGAAAGAGCAAATGAAGGAGCACTGCAAATAGTATTGATGAGATGAAAATGAAGGAGGGAGGGATGGGAATTTATAAAAAGTTGGAAGTTGGGGGTGGGGGTGGGGGTGGGGGGTGGGGGTGGGGACAGGTCAAGGGGAAGTTAGTAACATGGGGAAGTTGGGGTCTGCCATACATACACACCTTCTTGTGAAGGGCACTTCCTTTTAATTTATTCAACACTTAACATCCATCTTGACCTAATGGTTAGGTCATAAGAATTCTTGAATTCTAAATTTTCAACTTGGGAGTTTAATTAATTAAAGCTTTAGTAACCACATTTGTTTGTGTAAAAGCATTTATAGATGAAACTTTGGCATGCTAGGCAAGTTCTATTCTTAATTAGGTTCAAGCATTTATCATTACGTCAAAAGTTTTTGTATAGCAATCAGCCTTTCTACTGCAAAACTTTAGATTGGGTCTTCTAGATCTCTGATCTACCCAGCATTTGTTTCTGGAGTATATACTTTTCTTTGCTGTTCTTTATACTTCTTGCATAATACATTGTACCCGTATTCAGCAAGTCACTAGATGGGACTAATTCGGCCTAATTTTGATCCCGTCCCATTCGAAAGAAACTTTTTTTAAGATTGTTGTTGCACCCACATTAGTTATCCATAGTTTTCACCCATCCAAATGCAGCGCAAATTTCTTTTTGTACTTGCATACTACTCTAGCTAGTACTATAGATTATTGTACACAAAAAGAAGGATTTGCTTGGGTAGTTAATGAAGGAGAAAAAGTTTGGGAGATGTTAAGTCACAGGTGGCGCCACTAGAGGCCAGCTTCGGAGAGTTAACCCAAAACCCAAGCCAAATCTAGCATGGTGAGGGGGGTGGAAAAAGACCAATCATTGCTATTTGCTTTAGAGCTGGCCTGAATTTCCCTTTCTTTCCTTTTCAATTCTTGCCCACAATCCTTTTCAATTCTTTGATCTTTATATATGTATCCCAACTTTTTCCACAATGCTAGCTAGTAAATTAGTGCTAATAGAATGGATATTTTACATTATTAGGAGTATGACACAATAATTTTACAATAGAGTGGATATTGAGTTAAACAAATTTAAGAAGAAAAAAAAAAGCATTGAAAACTTAGAATTAGGTTTTGATCTCAACTATTCATATAAATTTTGTAATATATATTTATGAAAATGCCCTCGTTTTTTTTTTTTTTTTTACTTGATTTCCTATCCATCATATCTTGTGGATACACAGTTTGAATTTGTCCACAGATTTTCACCTAGTGACTGGTTCTCATATGAACCAAATTCTATACATACAGACGGAGCTGCTATGGGGGCAGTTGTCCCCACTTTCAAAAATGATACAATCCCAGAACAACGTTGTTTTGGGGCTATATTATATATATAATTTGTTTATTTTCATTTTTTCACATTTTTTACCGCAGAGCTCTCGTCTCTTTCGTCGCCTCCGGCCTCCCTGCATCTCCCGTCCCTGCCTACCGAAGTACCGGTTACTGCCCCTCTTGGCCTCTCGTCACCTCTCAGAATTTAGGAGTCCTATGTGACTCTGTCCTTGTCTCACTGTCTGTGTCGCACGGACACCGCCACACCGGTGACCAGTCGGCGGCTCGCCGCCTTATCGGTCAGCAAGACAACATGAACACCGCCTCCCGTTTTCTCTCAGGACTCAGATTCGTATTTTTGCCCTAATTTATTTTAGTTATGCCCTAATTTCCTTCATTTCTCTAATTTTATTTTTAATCAATTTAATGTATGTGCTTTGTTCAATTTGTTTATGAATGTGAGCAGTATCTCAGTTTGTTCAATTTGTGAATCAATGAATGTGAATTTGTTCAGTTTTTTTTTTCTTTTTAAGACGTTATTCTATAGTTCAAAAATATTGTTAGAACATAATCGAAGAACTCAATTCGAGTTTGTTCGCTGCCAGGGAGACATAATTTGTTTAGTTTATGAATGTGATTTTTGTATATGAATGTGAGTAGTGTCTCAATTTTTTTAAACAGTGTCTCAATTTGTTCAATTTAGGGTGTGTTTGGAAACCTGGAAAATGAGTTCTGGAAATCATTTTTCAAGTTTCCATTGTTTGGATGTGCCTGGAAAATCAAGTCAACGGAAATCATTTTTCGTTGACTTTGGAAAATAGGCTTGTTTTTGAGGAAAATGACTTTCCCTTTTTTTGAGGGGAAGTCATTTTCCAACTTTTACACCAACATCACACCACCACCTCACTACCACCATCAACACCATACCACCACTGCTGCCACCACCACCACCACCACCATACCACCGTAACCATCATCGCCGCCACCACCACCACCATACCACCGTAACCATCGCCGCCGCCACCACCATCACCATACCACTGCCACCACACCACCACCATCACACCACCACCACCACTACCACCACCGCCGCCGTCACCATCCCCACCATACCATCGCAACCACCGTCGCCGCCACCACCACCATCCCACAACCGCCGTCGCCATCACCATTCCACCGCCACTGCCACAACCGCCGCCGCCCCCACCACCATCACCGCCACCACCACCACCACCACCACCACCACCGCTGCCACCGCCACCGTTGCCACCACCATCACCACCATACCATCGCCGCCGCCGCCGCCACCACCATGACCACCACCGCCACCACCACAACCACCACCATGACCACACCACCGCAACCACCGCCACCACCATAACACTACAACCACCGCCACCACCATACCACTGCCACCACACCATCACACCACCACCACTACCAACGCCGACGCCGCCACCACCACCACCATACCACCGCAACCACCGCCACCACCACCATCACACCACCACCACTACCACCACCGCCGCCGCCGCCGCCACCACGACCACCGTCGCCGCCGTCGCCACCACCACCGCAACCACCGTTGCCGCCACCACCACCACCATACCACAGCCGTCGCCACCACCACCATACCACTGCAACCACTGCAACCACCACCACCACACCACCACCACCACGACCATACCACCGCAACCACCATCGCTGCCGCCACCACCATACCACCGGAACCACCACCGCCACCGCCACCACCGTCATACCACCACCAATTATTATTATTATTATTATTATTATTATTATTATTATTATTATTATTATTATTATTATATAACAAATAACACCACTACCACTACACCACCACCACCACCCTAATATTTTTTTTTATATATTATTAGTTATTTTTTTTATTATATTTAAAATTATTATTATATTATTATATATTATTATACATGTTGTAATATTCTAAATAAAATAATTAAAATGTTTAATTATACAATTCTACTCATTTTCCAGATAATGAACCAAACACACAAAAACAGTTTTCCAGAATGCAACCAAACACTGGAAAGGAAAATGTTTTCTGGAAAATGACTCATTTTCCTGAAAACATTTTCCAGAATTCATTTTCCAGCTTTCCAAACGGACCCTTATATCAATTATATGAATGTGAGCACTGAGGCTTGAGCAGTGAGTATGTCTAAATTCTAATATTGTTTTGAATGTGAGGATTGTGAGCTAGTGAGGCAGTAAGTATGTCTAGATTTTATTGGTGTTGCCATAATTTCCCTAATTTTGTTTCTGCCCTAATTTCACTAAATCTTAGTCATATGGATTTTATTGGTTATGGAAAAATTATTCAAAAGAAAATCAACTTTTTAAGATTCATCTAGTCAAGGTATTCGCGAAGTGTTAAGTACAAGGCCTCGTGAGAACTGCTCCCACAAGAGAACTATGAATTATTCGGTGTCGTCTATCTAGAAAGATCTAACGGATCATAAACATTTAAAAAAAAAAAAAACGTTGTAACATTTTTGTAAATAATTCAAACTTTGAAGTACAAGTAACATCACTATTAGTGTTGCAAAAATCGCAAAATCGACGCCTAGGCGCTAGGCGCCGCTCGGCCGCGGACGATTAGGCCGGAACCGGCCTCCTCCGCGGCCGGGCAGCTAGGCGGCCGCCTAGCCGGCTGAACAATTTTCATTTTTTTTTTTTGTGTTGAAAAGTGTAGAAACTTTGACAAGGCATAACTTTTGACTCGGTTGTCCGTTTTGGACAATTTTTTTTTTCAAATCGCGTATTTTGCTCTTAATTTTAATTTTTTTTTATGTATTTAAATGGTTTCAACAATATTCAAAACGATTTTACAACCACTTACGTAAATAATTTGTAAGAAAAAACTAGAAGAATCTTATGTTTTACTATTGAATTTTAAAATTTTTAGTTTAAATTTTATTTTTTTTAGTTTTAAAAAATTAAAAAAAATCGGCACCCCCTCAACGCTTAGGGGGCGCCTAACGTATTTTGCAACCTTGATCACTATAAAGAGCAACCTTTTACACTATATAGAGTCCAAGTAATTACATTTCACAATCGGTGCAATTAATGATAACATTAGGTGCACTTATTTTTGTTACTCGGGTGTACTTTATATTTTTGCACTCTATGATGTTATTAAATGCACTCCATAGTGTTATTACTTACACTTAAAATTTTCAGTTATTTACAAAAATATCACCACGTTTTTTTTTTTTTTTCATATTTAGTGCTTTAAAGTTGTTAGATCTCTCCATATAAATGATTCTGATTGGTTCCTAATTCTCTCATGCCGACATGTTCTTATTTGATTCGAATCCTATATATATATATATTCTATATGTGTATGTGTGTGTGCGCACACACAACCACTGAGATATACAAATCAATATTAATACTTCTTGCATCCAGTATAATATAAAATGAATGGTAAAGATTTTTGTATTTTGTATATGGTAAAAATCTAAAGAGTTTATTTTTCAAAATTGTTTAGGTAGCTTGTACATGACACAAGAGACCAATACTAATTGGAGATACTCTCTATTTATATAATGCACGAAATGAAATTTAAAGTCAAAATTTCTTATTTAAATAAAAGAGTAAATTATCAAATTGATATTATGATTTTTATTATTATTTTTTTTTGTTTCCATGTTACA